CCTACACTTTCCGGCTCTGGGGTGGGGTGGGGGCGAGGAGGGGAACCGAGGCAGCTCTCCAACCTCTGTGGGGCTGCGACATCGCCAACATATCATTAACCGGGGCGTCAGACCTGCCTAACCAGAGCGGGGACCTCCACCCCAGGGCGCCCCCTGGTGGGAGCGGGATCCTCCCATTACCCCACGGAGGTGGGAAATAACTTGGGGTTTGCAGAGGGGGTTCTGGAACCCAGGGCCGAACTCCAGAAGGTAGGATTGGATTCTGGGAGGCTTGCATGCCTGGACCCTACACAGTCATTGCACAGAGAGGACAGGGGTAAACTGAGGCTAAGAAGTCACACAGGTAGCAGAGTTGATTGGAGTTTGGCTTCCTCCTCTTTCTGCAGCCTGTCTGGGAGACGGGATTCCATCCATTCCCACCAGATTTTCTGACTAACCTTCTCTCTCCTAGGGCTCCTCGCCCTGACCCTGAGGTGAGAAATGTCACCTCCACCCCCCATCTGTCTGACCTGAGGTTGTGTGGGAGATAAGCGAGGGATAGAGGCTAATTCTGGAGGTGTGTGTCTGTCCTTGAAGCTGGGGGAGGGCAGGGACCTGCACCTCCCTCTGTCTCCCCCTTCTCTCCGCCCCCATGAGTCATGTGATGGGATTAAACAAGGGGGTGGGGGAGGAAGGGGGTTCTGATGAGAGAGGGAAGAACTTCCTAATGTCTGGGCTTGAAGGGCATTTGGTGATAGCCTGAGATGAAATTAAAAATAATAACGGTGGCTGCCAAGGCAGAGCTCCCTGTGAGCCAGGCTCAGCGCTGATAGGTAGATGGGATGGTCCCCATTGTCTACAGAAGTTTCGGGCAACTGCCCAAAGGTGCTTCACTGACTCCACCCCAGGGAATGACTCCTCTCTACTCCACCGGGGAAACTAAGGCTGGAGAGCAGGCACAGCCCACCTTCTCTCTGGAATCTTCTCTCTCCCCATGCACCTCTGCCTAGATTACTGGGGATGACCACTAGCCAGAACTCACTAGTTACCGGAGAGAATTTAGGGCTTAGGAAGTCGAGACTCCAGAGGTCAAAACTCATGGCTTTTAGAATCTCAGAAAGAGCCGAAAGAGCTCTCTTGTTGGGAGGGGGGAAAAAGAAACCCAACAGATTACTCTGGGTCTTGAGCCCTCACTGTGTGCCAGATCCTATGTTATCTTAATGAACAGCCATGAAAAGTCCCTAATTAAGAATCCTTTATGTGTGAACTTTATTTGGTGCCTGCATTGTTCTAAACACTGTACCTAAATTATGTCACTCAAACCTCACACCCTTTTGAGGTGAAGGTATTAATTCCCCCATTATACACACGAGGTAACTGAGGCACAGAATATAACTAGCCCAGGGTAGAGACTTGGAGAGGGGAAAACCAAGTCCTAGAGAGGGTGGGGCCTCTCCCAGCGACAGTCAGTCCGGACGGAAATGTAGGATTTCAAGTAGGGTATTCCCAGCCTAGCCTGGCGTTCTGACTTGGTTCCCACTGCGGATGATTCCTCCAGGAAGCCCCCCGAGATCCTTAACCCCGAAGAACTTGGCTTGGCCGCGTGCACGGGGGGGGGGGGGGGGGGGGGGGGAAGGAGAGTTAGGGGTGGTAGGGGAGGGGAGGAGTGGGAGTTGGGGTTAGAGGGTATCCTGGGGTGGATTGGAGTCCGCAGGAGGGGGAGCCGGGAGGTGGAAGCGGAGGGCAGGGACCTGGGAGCAGAGGCGCGGCCTGTACCGCCCTCGCGCCCCGCCCGCTCCCTCCCTCGCCCCCCACGCCTCGCCTGTCGCGGGAGGTGAGGCACCTGCCCGGACCCGCAGCGCATTCCCGGGGTCTGAGCTCACTCGCTGTCCGCCTGCCCCGCCAGGTTCGGGCCGTGACCCAGAGCGCCCCCTGGCGGCCCGGACAACCCCTCTGCCCGCTCCAGCCCTGCGAGGGCCCCACGCCCAGCCTTGGCATTTCCTTAGAGCCAGAGGCTGTCAAGCATGGGATCTGAGAGCCTTAGAAATTTGGGAGTCCTGAAATCCCCAGAAGAACCTCTCACTGCCAGAATGCGCGCACTGGAAGCCGCATAGAGTTGTCCGTTTTTATATTTTAACAGACAAGAGTGTTTTCATGTGTGTCTGAGATTCTAAAGGCCCTGAGTTCTGATTCCTGGGGTTTCTACTTTCTGAGGCCTGAATTCCCAGAGCCTTAATTCCTCTTGCAATCTCTGGCCACTTGGATCCTCACAATAGTTCTCTCTACCGTGCATTCAGCTAGACTTTTAGGACGGTGGAATCCTGGGATAGAGAGACCACAGTGCAGGAAGATAGAGACATCTAGGCTAGCAACACTGGAGAATTCTAGAATGTTCCAAAGATAGAATCTTGGACTCAGGACTTTCAGACAGTAGACTTCCAAGCTGAGAGTTTTAGGCTCTGTAGAGCTTTAATTGCAGTCTCAAGGTCCTACCATTTCAGAGTCTAGGCCTCTGAGAGATTGAAGAGGCCTCTGAGAATAGCTGACTGGCCTCCTCCTCCCACCGTTGGGGAAACTGAGGCCCGGGGAGTGGAAGGGACTTGTTGCCCAAAGTCACATGCTCCCAGCACACCCAGATGAACCACCAGCCCCAACAGGTTCTGTTCCGAGGCTTCCCAGAGGCCAGAAT